AGGAAGAAAACAGAGCGAGTGATGTCCCAAAGCCTCAGAAAACCTAACTATCAATTTTGGCCCAGTGGGACAGCACTTATGTTGTCCTGTCGCTCTCTCATGGCAGTCCGGCTTCGGGTGACTTCTTTGTGGGTTATGAATGTGGAAACAGATTTAGGAACACATGCATGCGTAGGGGTTTTTTGTACTGCTGAAAAATCTCTGCAGCACCACAGAAGATATTTCAAACGAAGCCATTTTTCCACAGAACAATTCATCACGATGGATTCGTCCCTATAAGAGTCCAGAACGGATGAAGTGTAATGAATCTGGCAGCCACATGAATTCCACTTGTGTACATTTCAGCACATCCGTTTTTTTCCATTTCTCTCAGCTCCGCCCTGAAATTCTGTTTTCTGAATGGGTGGAAACTGTCACAGGTTATCAGTAGGTAGGTAATAAATACAATAATTAAGTGCAGCATTAGTCAGAGGGTTATTTTGTTCAAGTCATGTAGGATCACCAGTTGCTCTCAATGGCTGTAGTTTAGTGAGTGGAGGCACATAACAAATGCAATTCTTGGTTATTCTGAGCAATGTAAAAATACACAAAATTAACCTCACCCTTTTTCAGACACTTTAAAGTTTTGCTTTGTTTGACTGCATTAGTTCCAACACTTTAGCTAAAATTCTTTATATTTCAGAGCTATGCACACAGGAGCAGGCGCCTTGCTGTCCCTGGCTAGCAGAAGTGTCTCGTAACTGTCAAAAATTCATACGACAAACCTTACATTATTCCTTGGCTAAGCACTGATTAGCACTCTCAGGAATCTAAAATAACGTCTCCTGTTCATCATGGATTCTTCCCTAAGCTTTTATGGACTTGTTTGCAATAATGCTAGCACAATAGCCATAGCATATTGAAATATAATTACAATCAGAAAGGTAATAATGTAAATTCTGCAAGCTTTACTAGCTAGCTCTGCTCCCCTTTGAGCCATGCCTGTTGGCTCATTGACAGACGAGTGCTCCTGCTGTTGTGACAGACGTTCACTCCCAAATGCATCCATAGTTCTTTGCACTGCGCTATTCCCCCGGATGCCTATCAGTTCAGTTCTGATTAAAAGAGCCAACGCGGGAGGCAAGAACAGAATCAAACAAGAAGCTGTCACAACATAGGAGCCATGGATCCTTCTGGCTCCACTCCCACCACTGCCCTGCCTACCCGCAGCTCCCTCCTTTCCCCCCTGTTGCTCCACACTCTGCTCCACAGCCTGCAGGGACCTGATGAGTCTCCTTGTAAGGCTTTTTTCTCCTTTCCTCCTCCCTCCCCCAATTGCTCTGTGTGATGGAAACCAAACGGTTCCACTGCACTTTGGGTCTTCCTCTACTGGTGAAGGCCAGGAAAGTTTGTCCTTAAAATGAGTAAATAGGAAACTCCAAGAACTTCTGCAGTGGCTTTTCTGATTCCTAACAACTCTTTGAAGAAATACTGTTTTGGAGATGACATGGTATTCAGTCGCTATCAATTTTTTTCTTCTCTAATTGGCAAAAGCCACTACAGCAGTTACTGTATCATTTTTTCAATTTGTGAAACTGAAAGCAATCTTCGTTGGTGTAAAAAGCAGCTGACAAGCTGGAGAAATCAGTGTTCTCATTCTTTGCTGCTGTACCTTCATCTCGGTACACAGAAAATGCTGGCCCTAATCCTGGTCAGGATTGCTTTAAGTTTTATACTGGCACCATTCCATTGCTTCCAGGGAAGTAACTTTTAATGCCTGTCTAATATCATTTAATAATGATTTAAGTCCATCCTTATTAAATTTATCTGACCGTGTGTTAAGTGCCTTCCTAGAAAATTAAAACTAAAACAGGTTTGAATGGCTTCCAACGAGAAGAATACGGTTGATTACACTTGATCATGTCTATTTTCCTCATATGGATATTGCACTTTTTATGTAGCAGAGCGCATTAGACATGGGGGGAAAACAAGGTTCTTGTACTAATCATGAACCTTAGTGAAGAATTACACATGCCAAAAAAATACCCGCTAGCATGGAGTACCTCTGCTTCCAGTGGCCATGTGGGAGAACGCAAATTCAGGGATGAAAAATTCCAGGTACCTCAATTAGCAGACAATTTTGAACCCCCCCTTAGTCTAGCAGTTTTCATCCCACTTGACTGGAGCGAAAGCCTTGCTCTCTGCAATAATTGCATAGGCTTACCTGCCGCCTTCCTGAGGGATACACTGCTCAACATCCACCGAGAGAGAGGCCATAGCAGATACTGTTTCTGTCTCCTCCCTCTCTTGTTTCTGAGACTCAGCCAGAGCACAATCCACTGGCACAGAGTATGGCTCCACTGACTTCCAGTACTTGCCTAAGGAAAACACACATAATAATTTATGGGAATTTTAGCTAGCACGGGTGGTACAAGCATAGTAATCACTTAGTTCAATGCTGGGTGATTATAATTTAAAATCACTGCGGTGTAAGCAGTACAGTTGAAATTTCAGACCGGAGTGAAGAGGTATATTTCTGAACCTAAGAATGCCAAGTTGGAAAGTGCTTTCATTCCAAGGGCTGTGTCACACCCTTCCCCAGAAGGTAATAAACTGGAGGAGTAACACACAGTCTAATGAACTCGTACTGCTAGACAAGCTATTGGCTTTATCTATGCAGGGTGAAGGGAGTTCAGGGCAGGGTTAATACCTAGAAGCTCTGATATGGCAGGCGGCTGATGCATAGACAGCAAACAGGACCAGAAAAATGAACATTGTTGTACAAAGTGCTCACACAGCACTGTCTCAAAAAGGAAAAAAGTCAGAAATGCCAGCTTGGACTGAAGTGATGTTGCCAGAACAATCAGGTTTGTTAGTCCTGGATGTTCTTTCTCCTCCAACCTCAGGGCGTATACTAGAACAATAATTTATTTAAAACTTTCATATATGAACTGGCTGTTCTGGAAAACTGCCAGATATCATAAGGAATAGAGCTTTCTGGTTTGCCGTGTAAAAACACAGCAGCGGATGAAAAGCATGAGTATTCCCAGCTCTCTGCCTGGAACAGAAGGGACAGTGAGAAGCTTCTCGAGTAACGCAAACAATAACGGCAGGTGACTCTTCATCAACATATAAAATGGTCTGCTACGGCAGTGCTATTAGAGAACAGAGGTTGATTAGCGGCAACCTGGTGAACAAGTAAGAACTTACATATGTATTTCTTACAGTCCAGTAATCCACCGAGCACTCACTAATTGCCAGGTGGATGACACCTGGAAATTGGGAGCTTTGGGAAGGCTGGGAGCTCTGGACCAGAGCTTATTCAGTGTTTAGCAAGAAGCTTCCAGCAGCTGCTGCAGAGGTTGGGTCAGGGTACTTATCTGGGAATTAGATGGAGGGTTTCAACAGCTGTGAAAGAGAGGGGATCAAGTAGGGGACTTTTCTGAGGGCTAAAAGGAGGATTTTGGCAGCTGGGCAGCGGGCTGAGTCGAGGTGCTTATCCGGAGGGTAGCTGGAGGCTTTGACAGCTGGGAGGCCAGGCCAGCGGTGGTGCTGCCTGTGCTGCACAAAGGCTGCTGAAAACCCCCTCTTTGGTAACACAGCTCTCAACACAGTTTCAGGCTTTTCGAAAGCTGAACTTTTCCCTCCAGTGAGAAAACAGCTGTCAATAAAGCCTGAAAATGTCTTTATTCAAAAACATCATTGCAAGATGAAAGCCCAAGTCAATGTGCAAGAACAACCAGCGAGCATGGCCAGCGCGTTTCTTTGAACTCTAATAGTGTGCACGTTTGAGTAGTTAGCAGAATCTTTAAATAACAGGGACCTTCTGGGGATAAAATGTAAAGTGTATTAAGTATCCTACAAAGTTGAGATTAAGTGTTAGGAGGTTGGCTTTCCTCCAAAAGCATGAAAGACACAGCTAAAAAGTTATGTACATAACAGTAGGCTCAATGATTGGAGCCTGGCAAATTTTATAAAAACAAGAGAAAAATATTCTCTATTATTACTGTGCTCAGAGACCATATTCTCTATTCATTAAAAAAATACACTAAAAACAAACAAAAAGTTATATGAGCATTCCACAATGTTCTCACAGATCATATGTGCAAAAGTCAGTCTTTGCAATATACACCCAATTCAAACCCTATAATTTATGAGCTAAATGTTCGCAGAGTGGGTGGGGTTTTTGTTGCAGAAACAGATGTGCAAGAAAATCAAATCTGTTGGCATGGGAATAATACCCCCTCTTGCCTATAAAAGAAATGAACCCATGTTCACTGCTGGAGTTTTCAAGGGCTCTTATTCATAAAATAAAATATTAGTAACCAGCTACCACTGTGTTGCTCTCCTGCAGCAACAATAAAACAGCATCAGCGAGGATTGCTACATCGCAGTCGTTCATTCACACGCAGGCTCGCAGACCAGCTGCCCCCTGAATCCTGACTTTCTTGTAACACTAAAACTCAGGGCCAATTCAAGCATGTTAGTGGGCTCTCTGTGCCCATTTAACTGCCCTTCCCTCCCGAGCGAGCTGTGATTTTTCTTCTTTTCCTGCACTGAGAATTGCGTTAGAGGGGCTTCAGTGATGAAGAGGGAGAGCAGAGTCAGGCCGGGAAGCAGGTGGCAGCCCCTATGCTGCAGCGGAGGGTCTTGGAGAAGGGGAGCGCGTGGCGGGGTGTTTGTGGTTTGTGGGAGGAAATTTTAAAGCAGTCCCAATTAGGAATAGCATCCATTAGGTAGCAGTGGGTACCTCATGCAAAGAGGGCTTTCTGGCACTTGTGAAAGAGCAATGGTAGGTTTTCCTTTAAAATCAGAAAGCTGTACCTTACAAACACCTGTGGTAAGCAGAACAGGTTTGCAAGCTTCTTTTTATAAAGAGCAACATTTATAAGTTGTGCACAAAACATACAGGGCTTGCATGTGTGCTCAGCCAAAAGATTTGCAGGCAAAGCCTCGTGGAACAGAGAGGCAACCACAGCATGCAGCTGCAAAGGAGCTTTGTTCAAAACCTTAGGTATGCTGTGGACTGACAATTAAATGTGCTCAAAAAGCATCAGCTTCAAAATGCTCACATCTCTGAAAATGTCATTTCTACTGTGCTATACTGGAATGTGAAATTCTACCAGTCCTGTTACATTCATTGAGAAGAACTTGGTGGAGCTCAGGGGAAAGAATGAAACATACTGCTGCTTTCATTCATACAAAATTTGAAGAGCAACCACGGCTTGCAAGAACAAGCAATGAAACCAAATCAGTCTTCTAGGTGTGCTTTGGTTTTCAGCATGAAAATGTACTTAAATCTCCCTCAAAGATTTGTGGGAGCACTGATTATTACCAAGAAAAAATAAAAGTAAATGTTTCTGTCACTGTTGCAGGCATTTGTAATTGCCTTTCACAGACAGATTTGGACATGCCGTACCAGGGCCTGCTTGAAAAAAAAAAACCAACAGTTTGGGGGCGATACTCAAGCTAGTGAACAGGATTGTTTAGAAATAGCATATTACAAGGGTGTGGGAATTACTACTTCCAAATGTATTACATTTCCAAAGGAGCTTTGGATCACTGTCGCAAACAAAACATTTATACAAATTCCATTCTAGTTAGAAAAAAGTTGTTTCCTCTCATTGTCTAAGTAAGTATTGTATCTTCAACTTTTTACAGCAAACACAGAGGGGGCACTTTTTTTGTCTAAAATATTACTAATATTCATTATCAAAGTTGGATCACAGAAATACAGACTCAGTATACATGCAAAAAATCATCCAGACAAATCAGGCTTTCTCAGTATCTCTTGAGGTGCTACCCCACAGCCTAATGCTTTTCAGCCTGCATAACTCCCTATAATAGTCGACATGTACTTGCTTCTCTTAATTCCATCTAAATATGCATCCTCCATGAAGCTGCACTAAACTTCCTCAGTGCTCCTTTCCGCCATCCAAGCTTATTCCTCTCTAATGCTTGGTGTCTCTCCAGACAAAATGATGTATGTATTAACTTTTTAGGAAATACCTGCAAGAATATTGTGGATAAACAGCTCCAAACCCTGAGCAGCCTGACTTAGGTTTCAGAAGAACAGCCCACTGGGATGCCGTGGCTGTACCAGCTCAGCTCAAACCTGAGCTTGTTCTGAACAAGCAAAGTTAAGCGACCCTGCAGAGCTCTGAGCTACGTTTTTAGACACACACTATATATTTGTTCCTAAATCTGTTCCTTCTTTCTGAACTGCCATTTGTGTGTATTTCTAGTAAGACCCTATGCCTTTCTGGAGCCAATGTTGGTTATTTTTCTCAATTCACCTTCTTCTTTTTTTTTTTTTTGTTTCAGATCCATTTTCATTAAATACGTGTCTCATTTCAAACAGAATTGCAGATTCTTTCTTAATGTCTGTGGCCTGTGTGCAGCTTTCTGTCCTTACTACATTTGCAAATCTGCTCTATCTTGCATAGTACATGAATTTTCTTAACTTGCTGATACCTTCCAGATCATTAACAGGGGATTCTAAGGAATATACTAACTCAAGAGCTACCCTAGGACATACCACCCAGAAAAAAATGATTTACTGGAATTTATCATATACAGCTGATTTACTTAGAGCATTTGCATATCTGGGTGACTACTGTATATGAAGGGTGAATTATATACCTATAATGAATTTTAACTGTCACTTTGCAACTAATGTCAGATTGATAGTTACTGCATGATCAATGGATAATCCATGGTGTCCCTTTTAAAAGCTGCATTTATTTTATACAGATGAATCACAATTATCTGTGCTTCGTCTAACATGAAGCAAAAGCATTTGTTATCCATTTGTTATTGTTAAGGAGCCAGCAAACAGCAGACGCTAGGAAGCTCCCACTGCCTCAGTAAAATGGCAGAGGGCAGAAGATTAGAGAATTTAAGGGAATTCTGCTCAGATGGATTAAGGCAACTGATGGTAAAGAGAAAATTTTTCAGTGATAGCAGAGCGAATGCCCTAAAGCATTTGGGTAGTAAAGGGTTGGGGTCAGGGCACACAAGTGGAGTGATCAAGTACCCTCTGCACCAGAAACAGAATAAAATCGTGTATTTGTTAGCATTGTTCCATGGATCAGTGCCAATGCTGAGGGTTTTTTTAACTGTGTCTTAACTTCCTATACATCTCAAAGCAAGTAACATGAAAAGGGCTGCACAAACAGAATCAGAAGAAATTATTTGTTAGAGCTCTGATTTACCTGTCTGTTCCTGTCCCTCACTGACAAACATCTATTTCATCCAAGCTGCTCTGGAATGGAAAGATTTGGGAATATGCAGGAACCAGAAAGCTCTAAATAATTTCAGTGGGTTATTTTTTTCAGGGCTAAATACATAGCAGAAACTAAGACACGTCAAAGAAACAAAAATAAAGGCATATAAATATATATGTATACACTAGGCATAGCATGTTGGTTTATACATGAAACATTTGCCCACTCTTTTCTCTGAAATAATAGTTTAATGTCTATGAAATTAATTAATAATAAAAAATACCCCAAACCCCCCAACCCAAACTGAGCAACATACTTTGAATTTCAGTGGTCTTTTTTAAAGAAGCTATTGCATTCATATTGGGGATTTGGTGCACAATATCTTCTGGGAGAGGCTCCAGCTGCAAGAATAGAATAGAATAATATAAATTTTCAATAAGCCACAGGGAAGTAAAACAAACTGAAACAATCTAATCCTCAGGAAAAGCTCAGTGCAAGAACTGGTTAACGTTTTGCTGGTATCAGTTCTAAAAGTATAGCCATGATTTTGTTTTCTGTTTTCCAGCCATGTAATTGAATTCCAAGGGGCTTTTCTATTGGCTGCAAGACTAATCTATGGAGTCGCTGAAGCAGGTGCATGTCTGTGTATTATTCATTAAAAAAATGTTAGTTATTTGTGTAATTTTTGTAGGTTCCTCACAAACCAAATTCCACTGCGTCTGTATATGCAGCTGGGCACTCCAAACAAAACCTTGCTGAAGCCACACTGGAACTGAAGTGTGCACTCCATTATCTGTATTTTTCTGGTGTTATTACATCTAACCATCTTACACATTTTAAGATTTATAGAGGAAACCCATAAAACACAGCTGCTTTTACTAGCTTTGCATTAATTTCAAATAAAGTAGTAGATAAAAATGGTTATGCAGATCAGCAGTAGGAGTTCTTGAAGTAAGTTTTTTATAGAATCAGCTGCATTTTAATTAGCCAGTTTTAATTCTTTGAGTAGGGCTGCTTCATAGTAAATTAGCAGAAGGAAGTGTGCAGTTATTGCAGTTATTTTTGCCTTGCAGTGGATAGATATACCAAGCAAACTGTATTTTGAAATTCATCCATGTGTGCTTTTTTTGTCCACCTTCCATACATTTTCTCCTAGAAAAAGGGTAAAAGATTGTTTGGGTTAAATGCCTTTTCTTGTACTGTAATAACTATACTCTCCTTGAACAGTGCTCAGTGTCCAGCCCGTTCTTCTGCTTCCCTGCATAGGCTGCTAAGGCTGCTTCCCGCAGAGCTGTGAGTAGCAATTGTGTCAAGGTAGACAAGGAAGAGCAATATCAATACCCATCTCTCTTCTCTAAAGCTAAGGAAGTTCGACCATCATTGACGGGAGACATCTGTACTGCAGACAAAACTCCTTTCTTAAGCATGCCTGGGTCTACTTTAAATTAGGTCAAGTGAAGCCCACCCAAGGAGCTTCCTCTGTGAAGTTAATAGCTCAGTAGCCATCCGATATTGTCCTCTGGGTTGCTACTGCTGCATTGCTACTTGCTAACTAGATAAAATCAGCTTTGATCCAAGTACACAAAGTGGGAAGTAACTGCAGTGCAGATACTCCCTTAGTGGTGGTATTTTAAGCAAGCTCAGCTACAAATCCCAGAGCTTCTGGGATCTTACCATCATGGTCAGCAGTGAATACATGTTGGTGATAAAGACATTGCAGATATCACCAGTCTTTTGGAGTCCCGGTAACTAAAATGAATAGGGCTGTTCATGTCATTATTTCCTTAGAATCCCATGTGAGATTGCAGCTGGAAGATTTCCTTGTGGCTACAAACAATAGCACTATGGTTGTTGGTTTTGTTTTGTTTTGTTTTTTTTTTTTCTCAAATAGCATGAATCACTCCATTCTGGGCAGTGAGCAAGTGTGCACAGAAGTGCTGGTAGGATCTGACTGGGTCTCAATCCTACTTGGTTACTGAGGAGGCCAAACTGCAAAAGAAGATTGTTGCTATCTAATATGTAACATGGATTAGAATGAAGAGAGCGATTACAATAAAAGCAATATTTACAGATACATTTGCAACTCTTAAACCACATTTGCTTCATGATCTTCATAGGTTACTCTATTTGGTAACTCTTGAAGATACCTGGGGGAAAACTGCATATTTATGAAAATGCCCACCAACAGATCAAGCTTCACAGATTTTAGAACAATAATCTGTATAATAATCTTAATAATCCATACCTTGCATTATGTAGAGAAATAGCACTTGCTTTTATCACTTGTTATTTTCTGTTTAAAGCAATGTATTGTTTGGCCAGGAAGAGGTAGCACTATGGTTGTTGGTTTTGTTTTGTTTTGTTTTTTTTTTTCTCAAATAGCATGAATCACTCCATTCTGGGCAGTGAGCAAGTGTGCACAGAAGTGCTGGTAGGATCTGACTGGGTCTCAATCCTACTTGGTTACTGAGGAGGCCAAACTGCAAAAGAAGATTGTTGCTATCTAATATGTAACATGGATTAGAATGAAGAGAGCGATTACAATAAAAGCAATATTTACAGATACATTTGCAACTCTTAAACCACATTTGCTTCATGATCTTCATAGGTTACTCTATTTGGTAACTCTTGAAGATACCTGGGGGAAAACTGCATATTTATGAAAATGCCCACCAACAGATCAAGCTTCACAGATTTTAGAACAATAATCTGTATAATAATCTTAATAATCCATACCTTGCATTATGTAGAGAAATAGCACTTGCTTTTATCACTTGTTATTTTCTGTTTAAAGCAATGTATTGTTTGGCCAGGAAGAGGACAAAATCCTGAAGTTATGTTTGTACTGGGTGCAGGAACACAGAAAGGGAAGCAAGCAGTAGCTTAAGGTTCTGTTTTTGACAATTTCCTAATTCCTAAGGCTTTGACAACCAATTCACTCCCCTGAAGTAGGAAAAAATAGCTGCAGGCTATAACAGTGGGAATAAAATAGTGCAAGGTATGGAATTGTGAGACTGCAAAATCTAAGATCTGTGTCTTGCTTTGCCCTTTGAGTACCCTGAGATTCTTTTGGCGGACCTCTTGTACTAATTATTAAGATGGGAGCAACTGATACAGAGATAGATAAAGGAGATTTCCTATTGAAAGGTGAATATTTTGTTGCCTTCTTCAGAGCTGGATTTTTGCAGGATCCAAAAAATTGTCTTTATTTTTCCTGATATAAAAATGACACCTCTTCATTTATCAGTACAGAAATAAATTTTTAAATGAGTAGTCTACACTTGAATATTAGACATATCAGATGAATATTTAGAAATGACAGATGTGTTTTTAGAAATCAGGAGAAGATGATGAATTATTGAAGAAAAAGTGTCAGACATCCAACAATTATCCCAATCATTACTCCATCTGTTAGCTCTACTAACAGATCTTTAGGTGATGTGAATATAAAAGCCATCATTTCCTTAACAAATTTTTCCACAAAACTTTCATATTGTATCCCAAGCTCAGCTTCTGCTCTGGAGCTATTCTGCCTCCTTGCTCTTAGGGATAGCCAAGCAGAACTTGCATCCTCTTCCATATCAGGGAGACCTTATCAAGCTCCAGAAGTAAGTTCATTACATCATATACCCTGTTCAGCCCAAATGCAAGGCTGTTACAAAAACACTGTAGAAGTAAAGCCAGTGGGTTATGGCAGCTATTTCTGTACACTTTGAAATGAGACTGTCTGCATTCGAAAGAATGATTCCTTGTTGGCAGCTATCCACTGGCTGGATACAACTGTATAGACATAGGGGTGTCCCTGGAAAATATCAGTAGTTAGACCCAACATTGAACAAAAGAAATTACTCTACACCTGGCATATATGGCACCATCACCTTCCCTCCTACACTTATTGGCATTCTGACCGTGAAGTCTGTTAAATCTGGAGGCTAACAGAAAGGAAGCTGAAAAGAGCACTGGAAATACGCTGTCAGGAAAGAAATCTTTCAGAGAGGAATAGCTCAAGTCAGTGCAGAAATAACCAAACCACTGGAGAGACAGTTTGGACCAGACACAAAGGGTCACATTTTCAAAGCTTTTACATGGCTGAATTGGGCTTTTGTGCCCAGAGTAGCAGATGAAAGTAGAAACTATGTCCACTAATCATTTTCAAAGTAGGAAAAACAATGTAAATGGGCAAAAATCACTTGGGCTGCCAAAGTCTGCCAGAGGCATATCAACAAATGTTTGAAGAAGGAATTAATGATGGAAATTTCATGTGCCCAGAAGGTGATCTGAAATGATCCTTGGGAACGTGGAGAGAATCTGAAACTACAGCAGTTGGTACTGCGCTGGAAAATCTAGAAAATCTAGCAATCTGTATTGTCCTTAGCACGGTTATGCTTTAAAGCACCAAGATTAGCTTCAGTGAAGATTGTTGTAGAGAGCAGTTAGAGATAACTGAAAAGTGAGGCGATTACAAGCATAAGGCAAGGAGCATGGAGAGTCCTGTCAGAAGCAGAGGAAGAGGAGAAGGCAGGCAGGGTCCTCAGAGGATGCTTAGGCTGCAGGAGGAAGGGCTACAACCTCCCTTTCCTGGATAAACTGTGCAAGAAGCACATCAGCACCAAAACTGGGCTTTGCTGTTCTTAAGGTTGTCTATGATTACAGAAGACTACGTTCAAAGATCTCACAGGTCCTCTGTGTTCTTATATTAGCAATATTCTCAAAGTTCCTGCACTTTCTGTTTATATATAAGCACTTTAGGCAGGTATTTTTGTGATCCACTGTTACAGTGTGGTACATAAATGAGTCGATTTTCAGTAGTGAATGGGTTCAAAGGCACAAAGGGTCATTAGCACCTGCCGGTCCCCAAAAAACAAGGGACGCCTTGGAAATATGTAATTTTGGAATCAGAATATTCTCTGTTTCCTTGGCCAAACTACTTCCTGACTAGCACTGCCCACCTTGGGGACTTTGATGTCACTATGCTGACCTCTGGCACATACCCTGCTCCAGTTTCCTACACCATTTAATTCTATTTTTGGGCCAATTTCTGGACTCTGGGCTTATGCAAGCAGCAGTTGACAGGTGGCTTAGACTCAGTGCTAATTATTCTCTAGTATAATACTCAGATTAACAATGGGGATGTGAGTTTGTAACCAAGTTTACCATGCAATTTAAAATTGATCTTAGGTCATATTCACTTCCATGAATATTTCCATTTTGGAGAGAAAATGCTTACCTGTTCTGGCAAATAACCCCTTTTTAATGCGGTCCAGGCCCTCTTGGCAGAGCTTGCTGCCTAGCTGGCAAGCAGCCCCAGATTCACAGAATTCCACAAAGGAGAAAAATGCCAACTTTTCATCATCATCAGGAAAGCTGCAGAGTATGAGCTTTCCACTTAAATTACCATCCC